TATATACACATACATATATATATATATATATATATATGATTTAATTATTTATCATTATTAATTTATCATTATTAATTTATCAAATTAATTTTAAAATTTTTTAATGGCAAAGCATGAATGCTGTAGTTTGTTTATATTATAACACGACTGATGTGGCTGTGGATGTAGTGCAGTGACTCACTGACCTTGAGGAGGACGCTGACGGCGGCAGCCATCCCAACCATCCCCACACCCACCACGGTCACCTTGTTAGTGGGCCCAGCGGGCTCCTCCTTGCTCACGTGAGCGATGAGCTTCTCCTTCGTAGAGGCCATCTTCAGCTGCAGGAGACAGAAACTCATCAGCTAGGATGCATTTCAATGCATCAATGATTTGCTTTCGGTATCAATGCTTTTCAAGATAGAACGAAACGGCATCTTGTAAATGATCTGTTAAAGCAGTTGTTCATTTCATGACACTGAGGGGTCCACTGAGGGATGTAGCCATTTTATTTTATCTTCACGTCAAGTGCAGTGAGGGAAAAGGTTAAAGGTGTAAAGGTTTCATCCGTCACGTCCTCCAGCCTCTGCAGTGTTGTGTGTGCAGACGCACGTAGAAGAAAGGATCTGCAGGATTCATACAAATCGGATCAACAAACCACCGTAAGAGCCCCTCACTCATGATTCATCACAAGCACTTTAGAGACCGTCCCTAACGTCTGCAGTCATTTATCATCACTAGAAAACTAAACACTTTAATGAATTATGCTAATACTTGAGAGACCATGTAGAACATGCACTTATGAGTGGATTACATTTGCATTTATTTATTTATTTACAATTTTTTTTAACCAATAAATAGGAACATTTTAGAGTTGAAGTTGGTGTTGTATTGCTGGATAAATATTGAACTGAACAGTGATATTTTAATTAAATTGTGACTATTTATTTTAACAGTAAATTGGAATATTTACAGTTGGTATATCGTTGGATGTCAATAACACTTGTACTTAGGGATGTAACGATTCACTGAACTCACGATTCGATTCACGATTTTTTTTTTTTACAAAATAAGACAAATTATTAATTAAATGTGTCCTTTTATTATTGCTTGGACAAAATGCTGCACATTTCTTTGTGAAATTGAACTTATATATATATATATATATTTCAAGATGTTGGCAAGAAATTATTTTCATTTAGCTTAGCAACTTAATGTACTACAATAACTAAAGCAACAACAAAATTAACAACTATAGACATATTTAGAAAAAAAAAAAAAAAGTCAAATTAAAATCAAAACTTAATAAATAAACTTAAAAAAAAATCATTTTAAATAAAACTATAATAGTATATCAATGATCCTATAATAGTATCTCAACTATATACTAAAATAACACTGATTCGCAGTCGATTCTGATGACTTTATTACAGTAATTAAAAGGCATTTTCCGGGTAGAGGGCGGTGTTGAGTTGACGCAAATTGTGCATTTCATTTCGAGATCATAAATGGGGAAATTCTGCACATGCTGAAATAAATACCGACTCATCTCGCGGAAAAAATTGTGCAAAACGGGACCTTTATGTAGTCAAGCGTCCCTAAATGCAGCCATAAAAACCACAAGCACCAGAATCCTTTGCGGTTCAGGAAGCGAGAAGTGCATCGAGACAGCTGCATCGGTCCATGCGGAGGATTTCTTGAAGCACGTAGACTTCAGGTGACTCACAAACCTGAATTATACACCAACATCCAACAAAACAGAACCGCATGCTGCAATATACACTACAATGCTCGCTAATAATCACTGCATGAACGAGAAGGGCGTGTGTTTATACGTCAATACCTACAAATAACCTTTATTTTGAAACGAGCAGCAACAGGTCGTGTTTGAGTTCACAAGGAGTACAAAAAAAAAACGCGTGGAAATACTAGTAAATTGTTGTATTCATGATGTGTAACGTTATAGACGATTGTTACGTTATAGACGATTGTTACGTAACATCAGTCAGACTGCAAATGTTGATTTCAACAGGAACGAATGATGATTAGCTTTCAACATCATCTCTCTGCATATTACAGTAAATATGTGACTAAATACACATCCTAATGATAGTAGAATGACATATATAGATTCTAAACATTTTATTACATATATTATGGAGAGAAAATACCACCCAAAACCGCATATTCTGCGCTTTAAGACTGTAACTTTTTCATGAAAGGTGTTTTAAATTACTAACTAGTGGCAGCTTGTGTCTTACCTGTATGTAGTAGTAGTTTGACCGTGTAGACTGGTCTGTGTCTGTGTCGTTACTCCGCACCGATGCTGCTGACTGAGAGGAAGGGGCTGCGCGCTTTATAAAGCGCAGAACGCCCGCACGCTACGTGCGTCATTCGCATATTAATCAGGTGGGCGTGGCTTCGCGTCTCGTGGTGGAAGTCACGTTCATCTGGGGAAGCGTCATGGAAGCGGATGCGGCTCGGTGGGTCACGTGCGACGGTTTCATTACACTAGTAAGTGTTTCTTAAAGGGGTCATATGATGCGATTTCAATTTTTCCTTTCTCTTTGGAGTGTTACAAGCTCTTGGTGCATAAAGAAGATCTGTAAAGTTGCAAACACTAAAGTCTCAAAACCAAAGAGATATTCTTTATAAAAGTTAAGAGTCAGCCACACCTACCTAAAACGGCTCGTTCTAACACGCCCCCACATATCTACCTCATGATGTGGGAAGATTTTCATAACGCCGCCCAAATGTTAACGCAAAGAAAGAAGGCGTAACTTTAATTCTCACTGTTGCCGCCGCCGCCGTGTTGTGGAGTCGCTGTGTGTTTCGTTGTGAAAGCGAAACTACTTTGTTTGACCTTCCAAAAGAGGACGATATCCGCTTCGTCATGCCTAGAGCTGATCCATGCTGGTCGCTGAGGAAATACATCCAAATACACAAAATAATGTTCTTTTTAGCAGCATCATATGACCCCTTTAACCTACATATATGATTAAGTCACAAATTATCTGCCTACAAAATATATTTAATATGGAAAATATCTATTGTATGTTTAATGCAAGTATTTTTGTTATTTATTATTTATTTTTTGCAAATAAACTCCTCAACAAAAATATGCCAACCTTATTACACAAAACCAGTCTTAAGTGTAAATTTTTCAAAATTGAGATTTATACATCATCTGAAAATTTGAATATCTGGAATCTGAGGGTGCAAAAAAATCAAAATATTGAGAAAATCGCCTTTAAAGTTGTCCAAATGAAGTTCTTAGCAATGCATATTACTAATCAAACATTAAGTTTTGATATATTTACGGTAGGACATTTACAAAATATCTTCATGGAACATGATCTTTACTTAATATCCTAGTGTTCATAACTTTGAGAGAACCTTAGCCAAAATTCTGAGAATGCTCCTGTTAGCTGGAAATATTCATATTGAAACATTAATTACATCGATTTTTTTTCTCACATTGAATTATCTCATATATTGCAGGCTATTGAAGCCAGTTGTTGGATGTAAATAAAATAAAACCGCACTTGAAAACTAATATAATATAGTAATAATAAAAATAAAATAGGTTGAATAAGTAAAATAGGTAAAAAATTAATGAATGCTAAATAATAAAAACTGTCTGTTAATCTGTGTGTTAAGTTGTTAACGTTTGGACCATTGATAATTGCAAGACACTGTATACACACACAAACTGCAAACCTCACAATGAAAATGCATGAACATAAGAAAAAAATACATAGAGGAATTTCGCAAGAGGATGCTGTGAATATTTCTTCTCTGTAAGTGCAGTGTGCTTCAAGAATAATGAGCATCAGAGTCAGAGGAGTGCAGTGTGAATGTGCTGTGTCATGGTTAGCTGGCTTGAAGCTTTCACCAAAACAAACTGCCCAAGGAAATGGATGCACAGGAAGAGTATTAGTGTCAGTAGATAGTGTTATAGCAGTACTGTAGAAATGTTGCATCTTTTTATCTTTTAGAATACAGAATGCATTTTTATAATTATCTCCATGATGATAACTGAATTATATTTATTATTAGCCTACATGATGATAACTGAAACGTAAACCATCAGTTTTAGACTAAAAGTTAAGAAAAAAATTTTTTTTTTTTTTTTTTACCTAAAAACGGACAACAGACTGATTATTAAGTTGTAAAAAGAGCATTCTGTGCTGTGTTTACATGTTTTGTAATGAAACTGCACCATCTTGTGGTGAGAAAAGTGGAATGGACTTTCTGGATAAATATTAACATTTCGGTTTTCAGTATTTTTCCTGTTTAAGTTCGGTTAGAATCTTTGTTATTTGATCACTGTATGATTAGATCTAAATGAGTGACACTTCAAATAAATAATTGCTATTTTTCTGATTTGGAATAGCATTCCTTTCCTTTCACTAATTTGGTAACCAAGTGGTAAATAAGAAATAAAAGTGCTTTTCATAGTTGAAATAAATCTATTTGTCGTCTTGCCACAGGGGGCATTTTACCCCGTCTTTCCCTACATTAAACTCCTGAGTTAATGTTCTTATTTGCATTTTTGTGGTGTCAGTGTCATTGATTGGACGAATGCGGCATGCGACCTGTTTACATAAAGTGGGACAAAACAGGGTGCAAAATTGAAAAAATAAAACCTTGTACTCAGACAAATGAAACTACATTTATGTATCTTATATGTACTAAGCTACTGAGCTATGCTTTGATACAACCTCCCAACTTTTCTCTTTTTTAACAAAATGTGCTTTTTTTACCTTGGATCCCTCATGACATTTAAAATTGAAAATATTTTTATTTTTAAACCTAATAGCAGTTACCCTTGCTGGACCTGTTTTGTCCCATGTCTCAAGAATGACTGGTTTAGCATTACGCATCTTCGTATTATATATTGGATTATATTTTACTGGAAACACAAGTATATAAATGATGTACTTTATGTTGTAGAATAAAATGTGACCGTATCTTGAGCTTGTTTTAAACACAAACTTTATTTCATTAAAACCCCATTAAAAATACCAATTGACTTCAGGACGATGGAACCAGAAGTGACTATAAAGGTAAGAATAAAACAGTCTTGTCTTCACTCCAGTTTTACGCGTTTAACATCACCATTTGACTTTTTTCGCCTCAAATGCTGAAATGACTGTTTATATGCTTCCGTGACTGTCCAAAACGTGTGAATATGAGGCACGTGATTGGTTGTCTGTTGCTAGCCATCTAGCCATAAGCAATTAATTCACACTGTAAAATTCTGGCTGCTAACCCTGTTGCAGAGCAGGGTTTCATAACTCCATGTAGAAGCACAACTAACCCTGCTTCTAAGTGTTTATCATTTTCAACTACAAACAGAAAACTTTTTATGTGTTTTGGCTATTCATTTAGGGTACATTTACTCAAACAACAATCTAATAAAATGTGAAAAGTTTTGCGTACGGACAACAACGTTGCGATCCCGTTTCACACGAATCCTAAGGGAAAGACTAAAAATGCTGTATTATTCATGCCAGGCCAGTAGTTGGCGATGTAACTTTGTAAACAGAGACTACACACCTGTGCACGTACACATTCTTATAGGGTGCTTCTCAAACGGAAGGCTGCATCCTACCGAGGCTGCGTCCTTCCTAGTCTCAGCCTCAGACGTCACGCCCACGGACCGTTGGCTGAACGTCTGATGCATACGGCACACAAAAGTGGAAACACTTCTCAGCCTCAGCACGCCCACGGACCGTTGGCTGAACGTCTGATGCATACGGCACACAAAAGTGGAAACACTTCAGGAGTTTCGAAGTCGTCATCGGATTGGTTGAATTATACAGGATTTCCGGGAGACGTGTGTGTCGCGTGCTTTAATGTTCCGCCTGGAAACAAAGATGCTGTGACACCAAACCCCCTCACGAAATAAGAAAGCCGTCGTGTTTACAACTGTGACGACGAGCGCTTATCAGGATCAACTAAACGCTGGATTCTCAAAAGTATGTGAAATATTTCAAGTTCGCGACACAGAATCTTTAAAATACGTCCGAGAGTTTTACACACTGGTCTGTTATTTTTGCCACATTTCCACGCCCCGAAGAGTGACGCTGAAACGAAATGAACTGTGATTGGTTGTTTGACATGTCAGTCAAACGGTCTCATGGGCGGGCCTTGGCCAAAGAAAGCTGCCATGAATTCAGACTGACGGCTGAAGGTCTGGCTACACGAGACTACGTCCTTCCTAGCTCAGGCACACTAGAGGATTTTAAGGCCGATTTTAAGCCCAATCGGGGGGTGTGGCCCGATTCGCGGCTTGTCGCAAGCGATTTTTTTGTCCAAAAAATCCTCTATTGTGTGGTGTCATTACGATTATTTAACTGCTCCCGATCGAGACTTCTGACAAGAACATCAACATTCGGGACAGATCCCTTTTCTTGTGAGGAAGACAGAGCCCAGGCGGAGGAAGAATTTGCTGATCATTATCCAGACATTACACGGTGCTTTGATCAGGCTGTAAATTATGACTTCACACCCTTTAAAGAAGCGTCTCCCATGGTTTTAAAATCGGTTAAGATTTGAAAATCGTCTAGTGTGCAGCCAGCTTTAGTCCTTCAGAGTCTTGTAGGCTAGAGTCCTCCTCGGCATTAAACGCTAGAATGAGACAGTCAAGTAAGTGTGCGTGGCTACGTCACATATGTTCCCGCCCTCACCACCACGGCACGAAAATACGAATAAAACTTAGTTTTGGAAAAATACTTTGTATTACAAATCATTATATTATTTGGCTTTCTATTAATGCAATACAATGAATCACAGCCGTCTAGTCTCCCGGTGGCTTACATTATTGGCAGTTTAGAGTTTAGTGAGTAATTTACACCAAAACAAAAAATAACATCTATGCTTTCATGTCTGGAAACATTATTTTTGTCTTACATTTCATAATAAATTCAGACAAGCTCAGTACTGAATCGTTTTTCGTCAGTTTATTGTCATGAAATGGAATGGATACAAAGGATTGTGGGTGATTGAAAGTCGCGGGGGATATATCCCAGCATCCTTCAAATTCAGCTGAATGAAGGATGCGAAACGAAGGTTGCCTTCCAAGGATCCTTGCGATTGAGATGGCCTTCAGTGACGTTTGATGACGTGGCAGCCGAGATATGCAGCCTTCGGAGGATGCAGCCTTCCGTTTGAGAAACACCCATAGACTAACATGTAGCCTAATATCCGCATGAAATCACTTGTTTTCACAAATTCGCTTGTTTGAGACGAACAATATCTTTTTACATTTTTATTATTTTTTTCCAACTTTCACAGCGCTTTAAAACCATTTTCAAAGGTTTGCATTTTTAGGCCGTAAAACGTATTAAATGTT